TCCTTCCAGTTTCAATCTGGTTCTCATGGTTTCGACAAATCTCACTAATTCAATAGACAATAACTCTTTTTTTTTTTTTAATTTATTTATAAGATAACTATGAACTTTGTGTGTTTTAATTTGGCCGGTGGTGCGTTAGCTACTTGTATTAGAGTTCAGAATTAATTTGAGTAGAAATTAAAAGAAAACGAGTTTGGAAGTTTCAACATGATGTGAAGGTTTAGCTAAATCACACAAACCGAATTGAAACTTTTAAACTATAGAGACTAGATTGAAACTAACCTCAACTTTTAAAATGATAGGAACCAAATTGAAATTAAGTCTATGCTATAATGGACTAAATTTATAATTTAATTTTTTTTATAACAATATAACATTATAGATAGGGAGAAAGAAATTTGAAGGTATAAACTATAAAGAAAGACGCTAGTATTAAAAAATTTTGAAGAGGGGATTGAAACGGGATTAAAATTAATATAGTTTTAAAAAGTAATTTTCAAAATAATGTCAAGAATAGGATTTTGTGTTTTTATGGAAAAAAAAGTAAACGTCCTATTATAAAGCTGATTTAGTATACATTCACAAGAGTACATCAATTAATGTCTTTTTTTTTTAAGTATTGACATAAATAGAATAAAATAAATATATATTTTAAAACATGACATAAAGTTTACTGAACTTAAATGTAATGTAAAATATACTTTAAAAAAAACACTTATTCTATATTTGAAAAAAATAATAATAATTCACATGAAATTTATACCATAAAGTGAAACTTCTCCATTTTCTTTTAGTATTTGTATTGTAATTAGTGTCTTTTTTTTTACAGAGATAAATGCATTTATTATTGAACTTTAAACTTCTATCAACATCTTCATATGTCCATGAATTCGACGTTAATACAGGGGTATATCAATTGAACTTATTAAAAAAATATGAAATGCTTATTTGTTAATAAAAATATATTTCACTTTCTTGATTTTAATAATATTTTTTTAAAGGTGATATTTTTAAAATTGAAATATCAAACATCCATATTTAAAATCTCGAAATCAAAACTAAATTAAGACTATATCGAAATGGTTCTAAAAAGCAACTAAGTTGCCCCTTTTTGGGTATACGAAAAGGGTAATTAGGTAAATATAGCCACTTGCAACAATGTATGGCCATGGAAGTGTTAGCCCATGATTCCCCTATGATCATAGACCAAAGCAAATCTTGAACACATGGAATAATGATTTTTGTGAAACATTTATTGTCATATCACTATCAATTTTTTTTAATTATCTTTAAAAAAAAATAAAAAAAAAACCCATATGAACAAAGTAAAGGCCCTACATCCGCCGTTGGATGCAATCATTTGGTCTCTCATCATTAACCCTTTTTTGAAAATGGAAATGGAAGGGAAAAAATTTGAAAAAAAATAAAAATAAAAAAGTGTACTATTATTGATTTTTAGTGGGAAGAAATTTAATTAAACTTATTTATTGTGATAGAGAGAAGCCCAATGAAACATTCATCATTGCTCTTCTTTCTTTTTGTTTGTTGTTCTTTTTTTTTTCCCTTAAAGTTTTGTGACCTAACAAAAATATGTATACGAATGAATGAATGTTCACTGATTGCAGTCAAACGTGCGTGTGAAAGAAGAATCTCATAATTAATCATCCTTTCATAATCATTTTGGGTTTTTTATTTAGTTTTTATTGTTGATTAAATTATAAATTTAGTTATTGTAGTTTAATAATTCTATCTACTTAGTTATAATTTTATATAATCTTTGTTGTTAATAGAGATATATATGGACTATTTTAGCTAGCATGATGCAATTGGTAGATTGCTTATAAACAAGTGGATAACGAGCCTAACTGATTAGCATATAGGTTAGGTTACGGTGTGAATAAAGCCACTTTTAGTCCATTTAGTTATCTTTTTTTTTTCATCGACATGTTAAAGGTGGATCCTCGTTCACTAATTTAATTTTCTCACCAGTCTAACAATACACTTATTTCTATCATTGATTTGTCATGCGTCAGTCAATATTGCATTCACAATGAAACCTATACAAATTCATAATTAGAGATGTGATTTGTCAAGACAATTGAAGGAACATGTTTTTGTCGCCTCAAAAATTTATGGTTTAGAGATATGATTGAAAATTTTTAAAATTTAAAGACTTTGCCGATACTGAATAGTTTGTAATCACTTTCGTTACATCATATTGTGACGAGCTCTCTCACCAAAGTAGGTATTCCTTGTAGGAAGGTATACATTCTTACCTCCCTAACTCATGCCTTTTTACTCTTTGCTTGGGTTTTTTTTACCTGGCCTTCGACACGATCGGTGCCATGTGACCTAGGATTTTACCGGTAGCAACAGTTACCATAATATATAGTTACTAAATTTATAATTTAACCATCTTTATTGTTATATCATCGAAAAATTTTCAAACAAGCTTCAACTTCATAAAATTAAGGAAAAGAGCAAGAAGGTAGAGACTAAAGAGAGTACCTTTCGAATCAAGGGTTAAGATAGATACTTAATTACTAAAATTTCGAGGTTTGATCCATAATAATAATAGTAATAATCACAACCTTTCTTGTTTTTAATTAAACTTATAGTTAAATTTAGAAAGTAGAACCAAATCTTCTTCTAACATTTTTCTTTTTAAGTTTATGAAAGTGAATTATGTTTATGGTGGATTCTCGAATTGGCAAAGTGAGTTATGTGAAGAAAAACATGCCGGCACAAAGGGGACAAACACTCTGATGCCTCAGATCAGTAAGAGAACAATCTAAAGACTCAGGATTGAGGAATTAGATTGCATCCTTGGATTTAGAATGATGTTCTTATTTAGGGTTAGAGGTTGTGAGTCCCACATAATCGTTCTGTTAAACCGTTGTGGGGTTTGTTATACAGTTACAGATAATTGGTCATCCTACCTCGACATATGACTTTCTCTCGATCAACAGTAGTTTAACTGAGCTATCAGGTTATCCTTGGTCGAGAAACTAAATAGGTCGGCCACTAAGTGTTTTCGAGATATAATAGAGAAAGATCTAGCAATTCGATCTTTCTCTGCTCTCCACATTACGCATCGTTATTTGTTCAACAAATAATAAGATATACATTATAGGTAGAATGATGAAAATGTAACAAACATAAATTGATAGATAAATAATTTTCTAACGGAATCCTAATTCTTTGAGTCTAAAATTACCTTGAATTTTGGGAACATCTCAGCGAAAAAGAAAAAAGAAGAAATAAAAAGTTTCTCCAAAAATGATTTGTTTCACTAGAAACAATATTCGTTTAAACTTTTTTAGGAGATCAGTTAATACAAAAGATAGAAAAAATATTAAATTTTACCCATAAAGAGTAAAATTTAGTCGCTTAAACGTTAATTAGTGGTAAAATTTAGGGAAATTTTTGCAAAAACCACCCTGAACTACGGAACAATATTAATTACAATCACGCTCTCAGAACTTTTAATTTTGATCCATCATCTTTTTAAACTTACGAAATTGTTACACAATTAAATCCTTAAATATTGAAAATTGTGCACATTAAACCACACCCTAAACTAAGTTTGTTACAATCCAACTCTCAAATTATAGAATTGTTACAATTAAACCCAATTTTTTACATCTATTTTTTGTTTTTACAAGTCAAGATGTCAGCTCAATACATTGATACCAATAATAATAATAATAATAATAATAATAATAATAATAATAGTTTAGTATTATATATTTTCAAATTTTATAGAGAACAAAATGTGGGTTATAAATTGTAATAATTCTATAGTCTGAGGGTTCAATGGTAAGAAAAGCTTATAGCTCAAAGAGTGTGGTTGTGCATTTTTTAATATTTTATGGTTTAATTGTAACAATTTATAAGTTTAGGAGTGATTGACCAAAATTGAAAGTTTGAGAGTGTAGTTATATTATAACAAACTCATATATAGTTGGAGGACAATTTTTATAATTTCCTCTAAAATTTTTGTCCTCAAAACTAAATAAAAAAAAATAATTTAAAAAATACTCAAAATCAAATAAATAAGAAAACATTGAAACTAAATCACAAAAATATCGGAATCTAGCAACAAAATTAAGTAGGTAAAAAAGTACCCCAAACAAAACAATGAAATGTAAAAACTTAGCTAAACATTATAACATAACCAAAAGAATCACAAAAATAGTCCTATCCATCTTTAATAAATATACGTATCCATCTATATATTCTAAAAAAATAGTTTCAAACACCTTTCAATCATGATTTTTTTTTCAACAACTAAATATGTTTGAATCGAAAACTTTTTTATCGAAAATATATCTTAATCAGTGGGCGCAGCATGCCAAATGACAAGTATGATAATGGCCCACTTATTTGATAAAAATATTATAAGCTTTTCATCTCCATAAAAAGACATAATAATACTCTTAATTGCAAGAAATAAGACAAACTCTCTTTAAAGCGTTTGATTACATTTTCCAAATATTATAAGAAGAAGGTTCTTTAATTTATTCCAAAAAGAAAAAGAAGAAAGAAACTCCCCATGCTTTGAATATATGAAAAAATTGAATTATTTAAGGAAAGAGTTGAAAAATAATAATTAGCAGTAGGAAAAAGAGAAAAAAAAAAGGCAATAAGATATTTTTTGGTCTTTTTAGGATCTGCTTTCTTTTTCTTACTTTAAGACTTATTTTTTGTCCTCTCTTTCAATTATTTGAAGATTTGGACATTGTTTTTCTTTCTTTGTATATTTGCTATCTCTTTGTCCATAGACTCAAGCAAGTTAAAGATTCCTTCGACAAGAAATTTTATTTCTTTTTTTCCTTTTTTTGGTTAGTTTAAAATTTTAGACCCTATAATTTTTAAAAATTTTTTTTTATAGTTGTTACTTTTATGATTAAAAAGTATAATTGCAATTTCTAAAATTAAAACGTTTTATATTTAATCCCTCAAGTTTTAAAGTTCAAATTTTAGTCTTTACGAGTCAAGAATTCACAGAAAAAAAAAATGACAAACTATTCTAATGTTGTAGTAAGATAGATTATACTATATTTAATAGTCAAAAGAAAAATGATTAACTTAAATATAGCTGAACCAAGTAAGACATATATCAAATAAAAAAAGAAAAATGATTAACTTAAATATAACTGAACCAAGTAAGACATATATCAAATAAAAATAAAAAAAGAAAGTCAATTTATTGGTTCTGAAGTAGTAACGAGTTAGAATCTCAAATTTATTATTGAAACACAAGAGACTAGAGTAGCTTTTTTCAAACCTAGGAGGATGCTAAATTAGAAATTAGGGTAAATTTTAAGACACGAAAATCATATTTTAACTTCAATTTATCTTGTTTCAATTGATTTTCTCACGTTCCTTTCAAAAGTAAATATTTTTTTTTATCACGTCAAATATTCAATAATGTTTTAGCAGAAAATTGACATTATGCATGGAAATTGATTTGATGTCACTCCAACTTTCTGTATGTCAAGGTGCCACATCAGATTCCACTTACAGCCAATAAATAAATAAAATAAAATATATATATATATTGGAGGGGTAAGAAGAAAATTAAAAAGGAAGAAAGGAAACCACCTTATAATTAACAAAATTGTCTCCAAGTCATAATAAGGAAAATATTTCACAAATGTCTAATGCTATAAATATTTATAAATATGGATTTTAAGGTTTGAAGTTGACTTTTTTTGTCTCCAAATTACCATAAATAAATATCATCTTACTTTAAAAATATATTCTTTCCTAATAAATTAAGTCATTTAATGCACATATTTACATTTGATATTAATAAATTATTGAACAAATATAAAAAATAATCAATGCAATTATTCTCATTATTTGGGATGTTAATTACCAAAATTCTGACAAAAATTCACCAGACTTGTGCTTCCATTATTTCCAAAATTCTCACTGTTGTCACTATATTTTTCAGTGTTCATTCTGGCATCTGCAACCTCCACGCATATACGTCTAAAATTAATAATATTAAAAGATCATTCGGCATATTAAACTTAAATTTTAAATCTCTTTATTTGCAGTTATACCTTGAAGCAGGAAAATAGTGATCGCATCAATAAAAATGTATATGCAATACTTGAAATTGTGTCACAAAATTCTATTAAAAAAAGTGTTGCAAGCTCACTCACAAACATAATTTCTGAAAACATGAAACCAAAAACAAAGTGGTTATGAAACAGGTAATTGAATTTCATGACTACATCAAATCTTCTAGAATTCAATTAAATTATACACTGATATTCATTTCTTACATAGAGAGAGAAGAAGAAGAAGAAGAAGAAGAAGAAGCCATTTTTGGTTAAATCAACAAAAGAATGAAGGAGCAAAACCTGGATAAATGAACAAATAAGAAGAAATACTATACAAAGAATGATACAAACTCTCATATGCTAAAACTATTCTTCTTTTCTTGGCATTTCTGAGGTAGGGGCTGTGAACATATACAAAAAGGGTGGTTACATAAATAATACATCACCCTTAATTTAGTAAATCTATTATTGAGGGGAAACAAGCATATATGAAAATTAATGCATAAAGACTCACAATAGATTAGGAGTTGTATTAGGAATCGATGTCTTACTCTTAGTAGAACAAAAAGACAGGTGTGAAGAATCTACCGCTCTTTCGAGATCGACCAATGGCTTCAGTCTTCTCTCTACCTCTTTGCTTTGCAGATTAATCTCCTCCAGAATCATAGATAGAGCAGATTTGCAGGTATCCTCATCCTGGAATGCTAGGATCCATCTCCCATCCACAAAAGGTTTGTTCTTAAGCTTTATTGACGTACCGAATTTAGCAGGATCGAGAAAGGGTAAAGTTGAAGGGCGAATCCTCAAATGCAGCCACCTTGAATGCTTTTCATCAATTCTAGGCTGGTATGAACCAAAAAAGTATTATAACTTAGAAACTACAGTCATCCAAGAAAGCAGAAAGGTAAAGATTGGCCAATAATAGATTTTCATTTTTTTTAAAGAATGAGGAATGAGCCTAAAAGTTCTTTCTATATCTATCATTGGCTAGATATATGTTTTAGTCCCTATTATTCAAAAAGTTCCAATTTGGCCCTTTAAAATTTAATTTTTTTCAATTATACCTTTTTCATCAGTGAATGTTTAAATTGGTAGATGATAAAGTTACATGGTAAGATACTTAGTGAGTTGGTAGAAATATGCCATCTAAAAGAAAGGTCTAAATTTCTGCCAACTCTTTAGAAATTTGGAGAAGGAATTTAGATAGCCTAATTTCTCTTTTAAATTTCTATCAACTCACTAGTAAGCTTATCATCAGCCAAGTCAATATTAGTATGGTATAATTGAAAAAATTAAAAATACAAGGGACTAACAACTAACTTGAGAAAAACACTCAAACATGACGAACTAAAACATATACTTTTGCCTTCATTTTTCTAACTATCATATAGTTTTGATTTCAACCATATAAGTAATACTTGCCATGACCTATACTGAAAAACACCAGTAACAAGGGCCATCGATGTGATTGACAAGGACTAAAATTTGCTGTGAAGTGGTTTCATATGATATGAATGACTCAAAGTACATTGCACTCTTACATTTGATCCAGCCAGAGGTGCAGCAACTCGAATAATTCCACAACGAAATTTTGATGGCAGTTCTTCAGCAAGAATTATCCATCCGGAGGTCCCCATAGAAGCTCCAAGAAAGTAAAAATGGCGCTCTTTGCCCCTCTCAAATGCAATTCTACAAGACACAGCACCATCTACACAGCAAGAACTAGGGTGGTTATAAACTTATAATATAACAAACTCACTGCAGCCTTGTTTGAATTAAAATTTGTTTGAATCCTGCACAACTTGTACCATCTAAACTTTTATGGACATGTAGCTAAACAGAAACTCTTATGGTAGAATTTCAATTCTAAGTCGAAAACTAACCAAGTCTCAATTCAACACCCGGTTTAGGTCCTGAAGCATCTAGTCCAGCAACCTTTGCGCGGGAAGTTTCAGAAATTTCGGAAGGAGGAACAATGGCAGGCTGCTCCAACAAAGCCTTGCCTAGGGAAAATGATTGAAGTTGGTGTAGAAGAACAAATACCTTGAATTGAAAGAGGGAAAGATATTGTTAATAGAAACTTCATACAAAATAGTAAATCACAGGCGGAAAAAAGAAGGAAAAAAAAAACTTTAGGTAGTTGACCCATTTCAGAAGGAAACTGTTTTGAAATAAACCGAATCTTCTCTCTCTTACCTTGAATCACCCATTTCAGAAGGAAATAGACTTTAGGTAGTTCACAATTTTTTATTACAAAAACAATTCAGATATATCAACTCAAGCTCCATAAATTGATGTGGCTAGCATAGGGCAAGTGATTATTGTTTGTTCTAAGAAGATAATGTCTGTGTTTAAACTGACATTATCTTAAGCTGAATTTCGGATGTTCAATAATTTAAGCATCTGATTAAGTGATCATAAGTGAAAGTTTAGTGGAAAGTATACTTCAAATACAATTGCCTTAATTTTCCTTTTGGTCGGGCATCAATAACTGGTAAACTTAAAGATATTTTTTCTGGAAAATCTGTTGCATAAAATTGTATTGTTTAGTTCTTTCTTCCACTAGATAGGACTTATTATCCATTTTTTCCTTCTTGTAATCTGTCTTTCTTGTTGATGAAATTTGTTTCATATTTTGCTTGCGAGAGAGTAAGTGGGGAAGAGCGACACCTTTACCAACTCGGACATTCTTTGACCAGCAGCAAATGACGATTCAGGTGGAACAGCATCTACATGGACAAGAAGTTACGTTAAATTCTTAGTGCGCCATACATTAGAGTCGCCAACCCTACTTCTGACAATATAATAAGAGCTAAAATCACAAGAAGTAAGATAATCAATCACAAACTATGAATGTTATAACTAGTTATTATTCTTACCTTCTACAGAAGCTTTTGCAGAGTGCAAGAGCATGCACTTTGGTTCTCTCCTTGGTGATGGGGCTTCAATTGCTACAAAAAGTTTTATGGTTCAGCCCCCAGAAACTCTCAATCCAATTATCATTTTGATGACGTTTTATACCTCTTTTGCACTTTTTCCACTCGTCAGAAAGAACTGTTAGGAGGAGATCAGGCCAAGTCCCTCTAGTTTCCTGCAGGAGCTCAATGACACAGTTTTTATATGAATCCTGTTCGATTTCAAAGAAAGATTAGAAAAACATGAGGTGAAACTTTCTGTTTTACAGTTGCAAGTAATAAGAATCAATAACATTGTTTTTACTCGTCCACATATAACTCACTTTAAGCAATTTTAGATGATGGCTGTTAAACTCTGCCTCACTGTAAGGTAACAACTGCCGCAAAAGCCACCCCCCATCCCACAATATTTCTGCAGATATATTTGAGCGACAAAAGAGACTGACCAATGCATTTAGCACCTAAAACATGGCCAATAAAGATGGATTAAGCCACTCATGTTCATAACCATATATCTTGGTCCATGTTACGATGAAATCATAAAAGATTAACTGTAGCTTTAATAGTTTGTACAGTTAGGTTGGCTTTTGCTTATGCTTAAGTGGGAAATTTTTATCATCGGTCCTTTGTATGACTAACACATATATATGTCGAACGATGTTTCTGATCCAAATGAGATGCATATCCTTAAGATAGAGAGAAGTACCTGAAACCTATGGACACGAGGGCTTGCACATCCTTTAAGAAAATATGAAATGCCGTAATCCTGATAGTGAGAGAGTAGGACATAAATCAGTCAGCAAATGATTAGATGAGAATCAGCATAATATTACAAAGAGGCATCAAATGGTGCAGCTAATATAGTGGCAAGATTACATCCTAACGCTCTAAATCTAAGAGAAAGATACCATAATAAATAACCTGATTTTTAACTCCAGAAAAGCAACTAAAATATTATCCAAATAGCCCTTGAAAGTTTTTCAGTAATATATTTCCTTAAAGCAATATTTTCCTTTGAGGGGGAGAAGTTTGGAAAGGATTAGGGGAAGCGTGGGAAGACAAAAGGAGTACCTTAAGCTTATGTAGGTAACCATCAAGTTCAATATCAATGCCACCTTTCACTGAGGTATTTTCTGAAGAAAAGAGTTGCTCTTCGCCGGAATCCTCACCAACCAAGGCTTCCTGTTGAATACAAGTTTTAACTATACTACCAATGAAAAGTTTGTTTATAGTTCAATGAAAAATTCTAACTATACTACCTGTTACTACCGAGACTTCTTTTTCTTATATTAATGAAAAGTTTATTTCACGTTTAAAAATTT